CCCCCCCCCCCCCCCCCCCCCAAACCCTAAAACCCTAACCCTTTGACCCCCCCCCCCCCCCCACAAATTGTGAGGCCCCCGGGCCCTGGCACACATCCGGGCTCCTTCGATCGTCCGGGTACTCGACCGGCAGGAGGCCAGCTGACCAAGGGAGTTGTTCGTGCTTTTTTTTGGGGCTTAGAGAGTTGCTTTTGAAACGTTTTTGGGTTTTGGGAGGTTTTGTTGCCTAGGGTTCAGGGTTTAGGGTGTATTTGCGTTCAGGGTTCCCGGCTTTATTCACGTTGTCACTGGTTTCGGAGCTCGGGTGTAAGCCAGGTGCTAAATTGACTAGAATCTAAGCCCTGCAAAACAGCCGGTGTACTAGTGCCGTTAGGGTGAGAAGTTGCGCTGCCTACGGTCCGTAGGGTTCAGAGTTTGCAGTGGTTCATCGGGCTTATACGTTGCATGCTAGGACTTCGGTAATGAACGGGCCTCAGTAGTGATCAGTGTGGGGGGGGGTCACCCCTCCCCAAACAAAAGATCCCAAACAAACCCTAAACCCTAAGTCCTAACCCTGCCGAACCAGGACACTCAACATTGTTGGGTGATATAGGGACCTCAACAGTTTGAATAGGGTTTGGGGTATATTATACTATAAGCCAAAACTCCTGAAAGCCTCAAAAACCTCAAAGCTTACCCTAAACCCCAAACCCTAAACCCTAAACCCTAAACCCTAAACCCCAAGATCCTAAAATACGAAAACTCTAAACATCCCAGATCCCCAGTAGATCCCTTTAAAGGAACCCTTATGGACCCCTTAGCCCCCCAAAACCCTCGAGGTTTAGGGCTTAGGGTTGAGGGGTGTAGGGGTTTAGGGGATTAGGGGTTTAGGGGTTTAGGGGATTAGGGGTTTAGGGGATTAGGGGTTTAGGGTTGAGGGTTGAGGGGTTTAGGGGTTTAGGGGTTTAGGGGATTAGGGGTTTAGGGCTTAGGGGTTTCGGGTTTAGGGGTTTAGCCCTAAACCCTAAACCCTACCTAAACAGGGTTTAGGGTTTAGGACCACAGCCCCCAAAGGTTCCGCGGCTGTTCCCGCGATGGGTGCAACTCAGACTCCGGCGAAGCCGGAGATGAGCCAAACGCTCCTCGCCATAAGGGTTTAGGGTTTAGGGTTTAGGGGTTAGGAGTCTAGGGTTTAGGATTTAGGGTTTAGGGTTTAGGGGTTTAGGAGTGTAGGGGTTTGGGTTTACTTAGTTCCCCAACACCCAACCTTTCAAATTTTTGGTTTCTTATAAGTTAGTGGTTATCTGAGAGTTTAACCGTTTATGTACGTGGCTTATTGGGGAAGTAACTGTCGCATCTTTCAACGGATCTATGAACTTCAGAGCTTCGATGTTCCATGCGGTTCGGGATCAGGGTTTAGGTTTTTGGGTTTAGGGTTTAGGGTTCTGGTTTTTCATTGAACCAATAATTGATTAAGCGTCAGGCTCCGGGGTTTAAGTAGTTTGGGGTGTCAGGCCGTTTTCCTTGCTCCGTTCTGAGGGCGGCGGGGGGTTCCGTGTGTTTCGGATTGATGTATTATTTCAAGGTTTTCAGAGCCTTAAGGCAGCCAGGTTTGTCGTTGAAGGAGGAACCTCAATTTCGGCACAAGCAGTGTTTGGTCATACTAAGACCTAAGCCCAAAAAAAGGCTAAGGGCTGCTCCGAATATTGCGGTAGTCAAGAGTATCTCATGGAGGATCCGACATTGGAATTTGACCGGAAAGCCCCCACGAAATGTGTAAAGTATAACGACCGCTCGTAATGTTGAGGCCATCTCAAAAATGAGCTCGTTAACACCTTTTGCAGCATTGGAATCTCTACTGCCGGTATGAAGGGTTCGCGCACTTGTCCGTATGAAGGGTTTTCAGTCTTTTGAAAACCATACGGAAGCTCAAAAAGCAAACCCTATATAATCCTAACCCCAAACCTGAAATCCATACGGAAGCTCGGAAAGCAAGCCCTAATCCTAACCCCAAACCTCAGAATGCTGGCCCCCAGCTCAAACCAAAGGATCCCCTGACGGAATCCCCAATCAAACCCGCCACCGCACCTTTTGGGAAACCCTAAACCCTAGAGACCCCTAGAGGCCCCTAGCGACCCCTAAACCCTAACCCCTGAACCCTAAGCCCTGAACCCCTAAACCCCTAAACCCTAAACCCCTAAACCCTAAACCCCTAAACCCCTCAAGACTCAAGACCCAACCCTTAAACCCTATTAAACCCATCAAAACCCTAAGCCCTTGTAACTGTAGTGATCCTCAGCGAGTCCCTTGAAGGCATCCTCAGCTCCGCAAACGAAAACCACGCCGAAAAGCCGGTTTAGGGTTTAGGGTTCAGGGGTTTAGGGTTTTAGGGGTTTAGGGTTTAGGGTTTAGGGTTAAACCCTAAACGTGCTTGGCATAATTTTTGGGGCCCAAGGCATCTCTAAGGGTCCCAAGAGGGTTTGTATAAGGGTACTGTAAGGGTTCTTTATGGATAGTAATTTAGGGGCTACAGAATTACATACTATTTTTTGTTGGGGGGGGGGGGGTCCTTATTATTATTAGAGTATAATGGGCCCCAAAACCCTATTCTAAGTATTAAGGCCCCGACATAATAACCCCTTGTCACCCCTAAGCCGTAGGCTCTAGACCTTAACACCCCCAAAGTGTTTAACCTCTAATAGCCCCTAAACCTCAGACCCTTAAACCCCAAAAGTGCTTAGCACCTAAGAACCCCTAAAACCCTAGACCTTTTCATCCTAAAAGTTCTTCGCCCCGCTAACCCCTGAACCCTAGACCCTTGAACCCTACACCCGCCAAAACAACGGTCCTGACAAACCTTAGACCCTGGTAACCCTAGACCCTTAAACCCTAAACCCGAAATCCCAAACCCTAAACACGAAATCCTAAACCTTCAAACCCTAAAACCCTAGACCCTAAAACCCTAAAACCCTAAAGCCCTAAATCCCTAAACCCTAAACCCTAAAACCTTAACCCCTAAAACCTAAACCCTAAACCCTAAAACCCTAAAACCCTAAGACCCTAAGACCCTAAAACCCTAAATCTTAAAACCCATCCCCCCCCTCAAAAAAAAACAAAAAAACGGACTTAGACCGAGGACGCCGCGGGCCGCGCCGTGGAACCGCCAAGTCTCGCCTCCGGCGCCTTCTGAGCCGCAGCAGCCAAGAAGCAAAGGGGGTTTAGGGTTTAGCGTTTAGGGTTTAGGGTTTAGGGTTTAGGGTTTAGGGTTTAGGGGGGAGTCTGTTTTCCGGGATCCTTTTAAGACTCTTTAGGGGTGTGGGTTTAGGGTTTAGGGAAGAAGCAAATGCAAAGGGGGGAGTCCGTTTTCAGGGATCCTTTAAAGGGATCCTTTAGAGGGTTTAGGTTTTAGGTTTTAGGGTTTAGGGTTTGGGGTTTAGGTTTGAGTCCTTTTTGCGGGTTCCTTTTAAAGGGATCCTTTAGAGGGTTTAGGGTTTAGGGGAAGGGTTCCGTTAAAGGGACCCTTTAAAGGGCTTAGGGTTTAGGTTTTAGGGTTTAGGGTTCAGGGTTTAGGTCCTTTAAGGGCTTACTTTAAAGGTTCTTAGAGTGTCTTAGAGGGTTTTAGGGCTTTGGGGTTTAGGGTTTTAGGAGTTAGGTATGTTTAGGCTTTAAGGATGGTTTCAATTTGCACAGGGTTTAAGAAGGTCTTTGGAAGGGCCGAATTTCAATTGTATGGAGATGTCGAAGGTTTCATCATCCCTTATGGGCGCTTTTAGTGGCCCACTATACGGGCTTTACTAGAGGGTTTGTGGGGTTTAGGGCTCAGGGTGTAGGGTTTAGGGGAGGTTTAAGACGATTTGCGCATGGAGTCTTAAGAGGGTTTGGGGTGTTAAGGGTTTAGCGCTTGAGGGTTTAGGGTTGGTGTTAAGGGTTTAGCGCTTGAGGGTTTAGGGTTTATAGGGTTTAGGGTTTAGGGTTGGGGTTTAGCGCTTGAGGGTTTAGGGTTTAGGGTTAAGGGTTGGTGTTAAGGGTTTAGCGCTTGAGGGTTTAGGGCTTTATAAAGTTGTATATGGGATTTCAACAGGGTTTCGGTAAGTGTGTTAGAGGGGAGCTAGACCCCGCAGCACGAAATCGAGATGAGACCATTATCAAGGATCACCCTTCTCAAATCGCCCCTGCATCACCCTTAACAGACTTGTAAATGGCCCCCACTTGGAGGCCCAGGGGACTTAGTAAGTAGGTTATAAGTAGAGTTATAAGTACCCTAAATGGAGTTCCCCGAATTATAACCCTACTTATAACCGACTTACGAAGTCCCCTGGACCTCCAAGCAAACCTCGAAAAAGCACGGAAAACCTAAACCCCGACATCCGAAGCCCTCTTAAGCTCCCCTAAACCCTAAATCCAAAATTAAGCCTAAACCATAAACTGACCCTAAACCCGAAACTCTAAACTGACCCTAAACCCGAAACTCTAAACTAACCCTAAACCCTAAACCCTAAACTACCCCTAGACCCTAAACTCTAAACTAACCCCAAACCCTAAACCATAAACTGACCCTAAACCCGAAACTCTAAACTCTAAACTAACCCTAAGCCCTAAACCCTAAACCTTAAACTAACCCTACACCCTAAACC